TAGGTATGTTTGTACCTTGTGGGTTGTGTTATGGGCACGGGGATTTTGGTTAAGTTTCGTTGGGGGATTTTTGAGTTTTGTTGTTTTGCTGTTTTGTGAGTGTGTTGTTTTGTTGTTTTTTATTTTGAGTAGATATGTTTATACCTTTTTGGTTGTGTTATGGGTACGGGGATTTTGGTTAAGTTTCGTTGGGGGATTTTTGAGTTTTGTTGTTTTGCCGTTTTGTGAGTGTGTTGCTGTGTTGTTTTTCATTTTGAGTAGGTATGTTTGTACCTTGTGGGTTATGTTATGGGCACGGGGATTTTAGTTAAGTTTCGTTGGGGGATTTTTGAGTTTTGTTTTTTTTCATTTGCCGTTTTGTGAGTGTGTTGTTGTGTTGTTTTTCATTTTGAGTAGGTATGTTTGTACCTTGTGGGTTGTGTTATGGGCACGGGGATTTTGGTTAAGTTTCGTTGGGGGATTTTTGAGTTTTGTTGTTTTGCCGTTTTGTGAGTGTGTTGTTGTGTTGTTTTTCATTTTGAGTAGATATGTTTGTACCTTGTGGGTTGTGTTATGGGCATGGGAATTTTGGTTAAGTTTCGTTGGGGGGGTTTTGAGTTTTGTTTCCTCGTTGGATGCCCCTAACAAATTTATATATATAGATGTTATAGAAAACATACCCACTTGTCCCTCCCACCAGAGTCCCATAGAAGTTCGAGAGAGCACATAAGTCTAAAGGGAGGTGGTTTCTCAGTAATAAACGTGCTGCCTTCTGCTGTATATGAAACCTAGGGCATAAAACCTTGATTAAATGTACACACTATCTAACATGGGAAGGGTCCTTGTTGTTNTAAAAGCTTTCCCTTAGTTTGGTTCACCACACGTTTGAACCACCTTCCCTTTGGCTTGATGACCAAAGGACTTCCCTTTGGCTCAATGACCAAAGCCTCAAAATGTCTGCTTCTGGTAAGTGCAGTTGGCTCCACCCCTTTCTCCATGGCAATCTAACTCAGAGTGCTGAGCTTGGGCCCATCCCCCTAGTTCTGCCATTTCTAAATGGTTAACCCTTTATGTACATCCATAACTGTCTTTTACCTCCTGAACACATACATACAATAATATTCAACCATCTAAGCATGCATGCATATATATATATATACACACACACACACACACACACACACACACACACACACACACACATATAATCATATTTAACTGTAGGGACACATATAGATAACTACGTTTTACTTACAGTTAAAATCAATGCTTCATCACACAGTCTAATAAGATAGTTAGAATAACACTTTCTGCCCACAAGAGAGAGATATCACAACGTTTTGTGAAAATGGCAACAATTGCAGAAATGTAGAATAGAACTTTTCAATGGTGGATCTCAGCAGGTGTGGTCTGCATAAGAAAGAGCTTGCCCAGAAGCAAAAAAGAAATGGGGAAATGGGGAGGGGGTAGACACAGCAGATTAGGAAACTGGAATGGAGATCTGGAAAGAAAGAGGAATTTATTTATTTATTTACTTACTATATTTATATCCTCCCTTTCTCGACCCCAAGGGGGACTCAAGGCAGCTTACGCATAGGCAATAATTCAATGCCTTAAAAGCAATATACATCCAATATACAATTAAATAAACATTTCAATTACAAATTTAAATGGAATGGAACAGGGTATGTTAATCGTGGACATAGCTTGCTGGCAGCAGCAGAGCTCCACACATGTTCATCCAGACAGCTTTTAAAGATCAGATGTTGTTCTTGTTCTTTTCTGATTTTATTTCAGGCATCCTTGATTCATCTGCAAGAGTCACTTTTGAAAATGAATTGAAGCCCATGAGATGTGGTGGTTCACTGAAAATATTCATAAACATTGGCAGACTGGCCAGGGTGTCATCTGCTTGCCCAATAGCATATGCCCCCGCCCCAAGAAAACATTAGACAACATTAGACAATATGCTCAAAATGTTAATGACTTTTTTGTAAATATAACAGAGGTTCCTATATTGTTATCGTATGAAACTAAAATTGACATCGCATTACTATTTTAATAAAACAATAACATCAGTTTTTAAGGATACTTTATATTTGAGAATATACAGTGAAATCTTGACTAGCAAGTGAAACAACTTGCAAGGTTTGTGAGCTAAGAGCCATTGCTTGGTTGATTTCTTTGCTTTGACTTGTGAGCTGAGATTTGAGTTAAGAGGTAGTGCGAGAACTAGTGCAAAAGTATGCCAACCGACATCTTAAGCAAAGCTTTAAGGAAGCAGCCAGAAAAACTCCTTGCTCTCATCCTTGCTGTAATTTCTTCAATCCCAGGGCTTTGGGAGATTGTAGGAAAGCTGAGGGGCCAGGAGTCTATAATTTGTAAACTTTTGAAAAGAAACACCCTGAAAAAGTTGCAACAAATCATGAGTTGACGCTGTGTAACAACACTTGCCTCACTCGTTTTAGAAACATTTGAAAGGGAGGAATAAACAAGCCTCCTTGGACAGGTTTTAATTGAAACGCCCTTCAAGTAAAAGCAAGGAAAGTGTGGCGAAAAAAGCAAACGTCAGTGAAGAAGATTAAGTGACGTTTTATCTTGAAGGAAAATACATACTCTACACTCAATAAATCCAGTTTATTTCTTTACAGTCTCTTTTATTATATATTATTATTGCTATACATTATTTGTTATTTATAAAGGACATTTAAAACAGGTAGCAAAAAATGTTGTGGTATTTGGGGGGCTGGAAAGAATTAATAGCATTTCAATTCATTTCAATGGGGAAATTCAATTTGGCATAAGATAAATTTGAGTTAAGAGCTCATTCAGAGTATTACTGTAATAGATAACTCTGGTTCTGGTTACATGAGGTCGATGCATATGCTATACAGGCTTGGTGCTTTCCTATTTCTTATAAAAATTAAATGATAGTTTTATAGTTGTGGGAGGGCCTGGCAAATAATAATAATAATAATGATAATAATACAAAACAATAAAAACAAAGTATGGATTGTTGATGTTGCAATCCCGGGTGATAGCAAGATTGAAGAGAAACAACTGGAAAAGCTGACACAGTATGAGGATTTAAAGATCGAACTGCAAAGACTCTGGCACAAGCCAGTAAAGGTGGTCCCAGTGGTGATCGGCACACTGGGTGCAGTGCCTAAAGACCTTGTCCTGCACTTAAACACAATCGGTGCTGACAAAATTGCCAGCTGCAGAAGACCACCTTCCTGGGATCTGCATGCATTATTCGCCGATACATCACACAGTCCTAGACACTTGAGAAGTGTCTGATGTGTGATCCAATATAACAATGAGCAAAATGATCTTGTCTGCTGTGGACTCATCTTGTTGTGTTTCAAATAATAATAATAATAATACACTCCTGACCTCATGATCATGTTAAAAAACAAAGTATGGATCATTGATGTGACAGCAGAATTGATGAAAAGCAACTGGAAAAACTGACATGGTATGAGGGTTTAAAGATCGAACTGCAAAGACTCTGGCACAAGCCAGTAAAGGTGGTCCCAGTGGTGCAGTGTCTAAAGACCTTGACCAGCACTTAAGAACAATAACAAAGTAAAGGTTGTCCCCTGACATTAAGTCCAGTCATGTCTGACTTTGGGGTGTGGTGCTCATCTCCATTTCTAAGCCGAAGAGCCGCTGTTGTCCGTAGACACCTCCAAGGTCATGTGGCCAGCATGACTGCATGGAACGCCGTTACCTTCCCGTCGGAGCGGTACCTATTGATCTACTCACATTTACATGTTTTCGAACTGCTAGGTTGGCAGAAGGTAGGGCTAGCAGTGGAAGCTCACGCCGTTCCCCGGAATCGAACCTGTGACCTTTCGATCAACAAGCTCAGCAGCTCAGTGCTTTAACCCACTGCGCCACCGGGGGCTCCTAAAAACAATAGTCACTGACAAAATTACCATCCATCAGCTATAAAAGGCCACCCTACTTGGATCTGCCTGCATTATTCGCCAACACATCACACAGTCCTAGATACTTTGGAAGTGTCTGACATGTGATCCAATACAATAGCCAGCATAGTGATCTTATTTGTTGTGTATATAATACTAATAATACTAATACTAATAATTTTATGTTTCATTCACCTCTCCTTGTGGCTTGAGGTGGGTTACAGAACAGTTAAAACACATACACATTGTAAAAGTACTACAAATCCACATATTAAAATGTATTTCTATAAAAGCTACATATTAAAGCATATTTATATCAAATACTTATTAAAATGCACAGAACAGAGACCCAACCCAGCACTGTTTATTAACTTTGAAGATGGGTTAGTAGTTTTCATGTTAGCAAAGCAGAAAATTAATTAATTCAGAATTTTAGTCAGGATTTTGGAGGAAATATCCAAAGGGAAGAACCCTATTTGGGGGTCAAGAGTCAATAATCTAGGTAAATCAGTTAAAATTTAGATTAAAGCCCAGAACAGATTACCAACCCATTGCTATGAAACCCACAAGCCAGTACTGCAAGGATGTCACACCTATGGTCTCCTTGCTAGTTGGTATGGTGAAGGATGCCCCTTTCCTAGGTGTTTTGAAGTAGGGTTCATGGGTAAGCTTGATCAACATTTATTTGCAGCAAGATGTCTTGGGCTGATGCCAGATGTTGTAGCAATGTGTATCGTGAGCTCTCCAATCCCACTCTCTAGTCAGCACAGCCTCTCTGAAAGGTCCTGTTGCGAATGCTGTGATGTGCTAATCAGGGTGCAAGGCTGAAAAAAAAAATCCCAGGTAATTCTTTTTAAAAAATGCATATGTGCACCTCCCAGTACTTTCAACTCAACTCTTAATGAGAAGAGATGTAATTGGAATAAAATACTTAAGGCACCTTCAGAAGTTTCTGTTTCCACTATGGAAGGAAGGACAAGACAAATTATAAGTTCAGAACAACCGGGCAGCAACAGCATTCCAGTGGCAGAACTATTATTTGTACCATCCTTCATCTTCTATATGTAAATGATCTTTAATAAACGCATGACTGAACTCTAAAACACACATGACAGGGGAAGATAGAAAAGGTTCTCTGCTTAGGTTAGTATATCACAGGCAGGTAAACCTGGACGGCTAGTTCTGAACCTCATTGCCAAAGGAAAGGTAAATACTTCTGGTTGTTCACCTGGGAAGGGGATTAGGAGAATAATCTGTAAACCATGAGCTTGGAGATAGAATAAGTCCTTTCTTATGACTCCTGTACATAATCTGGTTGACTATGCAGCTTTTTGTTGATGTTCCATTTGCAAGTCTTAAATGGGTATGATGTTAGCACATTGACATTTTGTGCATGATTGGAATGGCTACTTTCTGGCTACAAGGAGCCCAAAGTGTTGTGGGTTTCAATGGGATTTTGATGTGTTTTGAATTTTTTGGGTCATGAGCTGAAGATATTCAAGGTGCAATTATCTGGAGTGGGCTCTAGACTGATGTAGGAGCACTTTCTAATGGAGGCTTACATTTTGTATATTTAAACATCTATCACTGGTTCTTTTCATTAGGTTTTCTGAAAACCGATCCAAATTTGCTTTAGATTGTTCAGTGGACTAAGGTAATATTTCTGAATCAGGGAACATCAGTTAGGAATTCAGTTCCCAGATTATTGGCCATGCTATTTGGAGGTTTGGGGGAATTGCAGACACAACATCTGTAGTTCCACCAGTTGAGAGAGATCCACTGAGTTTGTAGTTTTATGTGAAGAATCAATGCTATTAAGAGATGGTTATTATTATTATTATTATTATTATTATTATTATTATTATTATTATTAAAACAACTCTCATAAGGACACTCAATTGTATCAAAAAATTTTTTTCATGTCAGGAGCAACTTGAGAAATGGCAAGTTACTTCTGGTGTGAGAAAATTGGCCGTCTGCAAGGATATTGCCCAGGGGACACCCGGATGTTTTGATGTTTTACTATCCTTATGGGAGGCTTTTCTCATGTCCCTGCATAGGGAGCTGGAGCTGACAGAGGGAGCTCATCTGCGCTCTCCCCAGATTCGAACCTGTAACTTGTCAGTCTTCAGTCCTGCCAGCACAAGGTTTAACCCATTGTGCCACCAGGGGCTCTTTCGAAAACTGAAATCCTTCGACTCATATTTATCAGTTATTTGCAAGCTGTGTTATCCATATCAATGAATTACATTAACTCTACTATTATTGTTTATATTTTCTATACAACTTAGTGTTCTCAAAAAACACATCTGAGAAATGTATAGCTGTTAAAAATAATTTCTACTTTTCCCCCTGTCCTACACAATCAGTTTAACTGGACAAATAAAGACAAAAACACCCATGATTTTTTTCCTTATTTCTAGGCTGACTGGCTGGCACAATGGCCTACCCCGGTGACGTTAATGCTGACCTTTACTTTGACCTCTTTCATCTGCTGAGAAGTGAACGGCCCAATGAGAACATCCTTTTCTCACCTTTGAATATCTCAGCAGCCTTGCACCTATTGTACAGTTGTAGAGCGGACTGTGATCTACAGGATGAAATGGTAAGTGTTTATTCTTTGGGACTGGGATTGTTAGGGCTTAATTGGGACAATCCCAACAAAACTTATTTTTTCATATGAAGCCATTCTAACTCCAGACAGCGTTCCCAAATCTTTAACTGTATTAATTATTATTATTTTGTGAATTTTAACCTACATTTTATTGATGTGGTCTTGTGTCATATGCATTTTAATAGGGTTGTGCTTTATTATTCTTTTTTAACCCTCCTGTACCCTGCCTTGAGCTGCAATTATTATTATTATTATTATTATTATTATTATTATTATTATTATTATTAATATTGTTATTAATTTTAATATGATAATGATTCACAGTGAGTCTCTACATGCAGAAAAGCTATGGGATGTTATTTTCCCTGTTGATACCATTAGAATCGTAGGCAGAGAAACAGAACATATGGGCACTACCTTTACACTTAAAATGCAATGGAAGATGCCCTGCCAGCAGTTTCAGTGATGCAGTCCAGGAAAAAATGTATTGGCAAATATTGCTGATATGTACTTTTGCTGTCTGTTTTCATTATAGATTTCTAAAGTAGGTGTAACCAAGGGTGCATCCTGACAGCCCTTTAGCTCGGGAACATTCACATTTTAAAAATTCAAATCTTCCCGGGTCCTCATCTACAGACACGTCAGAAAGCATGTGTTTTTTGGGGAGGGTGTCCAGAACTTTCTGGGAGAACACCTGGACACTCTAACCCCTTTCCCCAAACTCCCCAAACCCCTTTAAAAAATAAAAGAATTTAGCTGGCCTCCATTAGCATGGTACCAGAGCCCCCCCCCCCCCGGCACAAAGGAATGATACACTAGGAGAAAGGGGGGAGGAGTTATTTTCTTCCTCCCCCTTTCTCCTGGCACATCATTCCTATGCACCAGGAGAGTTCTGGCACCATGCTTATGGAGGCCAAGGACATTATTTTATTTTAAAAAGAGGTTTGAGGGGTTTTTGGTGAGGGGTTTGGTGTCCTTGTGGATTTCCGGGCTAATTTAACCCAGAAAACCATGTGACTACTGTCTGGATTGCTCCCTCAAAAGTCCAGAACACAGGGGAAGTAGTGGGTTTATCCCACATCTTCCAAGAAGGAGCAGAATAAACCCACTAACAATTAAATTCGTGACAAACCAGGGTTTTCCTGGTTTGTGGTGAATGAATTTATCTTTCTCTGGGACATCATTTGGACAGTCCCCCTTTTAAGTACAGGAACTCCTGCGTTAAAGGGGCTGTCTGGATGCGTCTCTGGTGACTGGTGGACGTAAGTCTGACATGACTGGGGTGTAGTATTCAACTGCCTTGAACGCTGGGACACAGATTAAGCATATTGCTTTAGAACAATGGTTCTTAACCTGTGGGTCCCCAGGTGTTTTGGCCTACAACTCCCAGAAATCCCAGCCAGTTTACCAGCTGTTAGGATTTCTGGAAGTTGAAGGTCAAAACATCTGGGGACCCATAGGTTGAGACCCCAGCTTTAGAGCATTGATTTCTAAGAACTAATCCTCACAGTGTATGGACCACCCCCCAGAAACTTTGACCATTGACCAAAGAAGCTAAAGCTTCTAAGGAGTCAAAGTCCAAAAAACCTGGAGAACCAAAGTTTGTGACTTAGAGCTTTGTTTCTTTCTGCTGATCCTACGAATGGAGAAATACTGCAGTGTAATACACATCCACTCAGATCAGAAAGCTTTTAGTATTATTTAAAAGTTACAAAATCAGCTCCCATCTTGTAGCATGCTCTTTCAGCTATTGTTAGGCCTGTGTTTCATTTTTCTTGAATATTTTTCATATAAGTATTTTGTAAGAAATGCCTGGCACAGCTTCATAATGTATTTGCTTGTTGGTACTTGTAGTATGCACATTTATTCATAAGTAAGTAGCCCTGATGTCTTTAACACAGGTAATTTCATGCAGGCATAGCATTCCTATTAGGGACCATTGAGTAGCTATTACCTGTACAGTTTTGGAAGAAGTGCAGAGGTAAATGTTTTTCAGCAATTCAAAACAATGGCTCAAGTGCTGCGAAACTGTACAGGGGAGCAGGTGAGAACCCTCATAACAATTTATTGGTACAACAAACAAAATACTGCATTGGATCCAGAACACCACATGTTGGATTTCCACATGTACAGAATGGCATAAGTGGGCAGGTGATCTTTATGATGCTACTTTCCCTTCTGAAATGTCATGAAGGACAGGGGAACCCTCTGCAACAGTGTATGATGTAGGGAAAGAAGGAGTCATGAACCCTTTTGATCATGTATGATCATCCTAGGATCTCATCACATTAAGCTGTGGATTCACTGGAGCCCAGTGGGGTGGGGGGTGGGGGTAGGGTGGGGTTGGGAAATGTGTTGCCCCACACCCTGCATCACCCAGCTTTCCCCTTATGTCATCCCATGGGGGGAGGTGTCCACTGTCTGGCTTACCTCAATTGATCCCTATGCAACATGGGAAGCCTCCTGTGTTGATACTGCAGTGGCGTACACTGGTCCTTCTCCATTTGCACCACAGAACCGCACTAGAAGTAGATCTACGTCATGGAATGAGAGCTGGCAGGTTTTGTGACTGAAGAGGGGAGAAAGCAGCACAGGACAGGCAATTTTGCCTGTATGATAAGGTGGCTAGTTATGTTCTTCTGACCAGAAGTTGTGACTTTTAAGGCAGATTTGGAAAGGACTGAGCATCTCAGACTCCCAGGGATGCAAAGAAATTCAGCCGTAAATCCAACACAATTAAGATTAATGTCATGATTTGGGCCCTAAACCAAAGAAATAATTACTTTTGTTTTTAATCTTAAGAGTTCCTTGCCTCATTATAGTGTCACCAATTTATAAAACTACAACTCCTTTACATGCATAGAAACAAATAGATAACCAACTGTATTAAGTTATATTTTATAAAACTTTCTCATGCTGCTATATCTATCTATCCATCATCTATCTATCTATCTATCTATCTATCTATCTATCTATCTATCTATCTATGGATTGGGGGATGGATTGAGGTTATGTTTGGGTTGGGAAGGGGAAGGTGGGCAAGATGATAAAAAAGTAAGGGGGAAGGAAGAAGAGAGAAAGAAAAAAAAAGAAAATGAAAATAAAAAAGAGAAGGGTATTACTGAACTTTCACTCTTCATTATAATGGTATTCAAAGAAAGAAAAGAAGTAGCCAAGATGGAAAGCTTTAAGTTTCCTTTCTTCTTCCTTTTCCTATTGTTCATCGTTGGTAATTCTCTATTCCTAAATTCTATTCATATTAATATCTTGATATTGTTTTCTTTTATCCACTCTTTAATATTGTATTAATTATCATGCAATGTTGTTATTATTCTGTCTTAGCCAGATGATTTCAGTCAAGACAACCAGGACCTGCATTCAAGATCAAAGCCGGACTTAGAAGAGTCACCAGATTGCAATGCCTTGGAAGCCAGTCAGAGATGGGATTTAATGCATGAGCAAAGAGGTATGTAAAAAAAATTAAATTTGCCAGATGATAGATTTACTAATATCTATCAGTTTATCTGCCAGTTCCTATGTACATACCTGGGATACGGAACCACGCAGTCATAGGAATCATTGGAAGATTGCCTTAAGTAACGGTTTCATCTAGTAACAGAGGTGGGAAATGGGTTTGTATTGGTTTTATTGATTTTATTGGTTTTATGGTTGTAATGTAGGAATTGTTGTTTAACTGTGAATTGATGTTATTTTTGTTTTTGACTGTTATGTGATGCGGGCATCGAATTGTGCCTTTGCTTTTGTAAGCCGCCCTGAGTCCCCTTCGGGGTGAGAAGGGCGGGGTAGAAGAAACCAAAATAAATAATTGTAATAATAATAATAATAATAATAATAATAAATGCTGGCAATATTACAGGCTGCTTGTCACTCCCCTTTGTTCTGAAACCTCTAATACATCTGAATTGCTAGAGTACCACCAAAGTTGTATGATGCAGCAGTAAACGGGAAAAGACCTTTTCTTTTTGGTACACAATAATGTACAACAATGGGTTTGCACTAACTAAAACTGCCACAGTTTGTACAAGGCAGGGCCTACCTTGCAGCTGAGGACATTTCCCCACATTATTCACCCATTGCAACCAGTAGCTATTAAAGGTCTGGAACAGTTTTCAATATAGCATAGAGAACTGCAGTAAATTGACAGGCAGAGAGCAACAAAAGTAAAGTTTTCTGCTTTTCATGAACATATCTGCTTTTTGGGACATATCGTTGTTCTTGTTCTTCAGGAGATCTATGTTTCAAAATTTGGTGAACTAGTTCTTTGAACATTTTTATTACAAAAATACATGCAAAAAAGGACAATGGATACGTGTTAATTCCTGGGGGTTGGTTCGGGACCTCTTGTGGATACCAAAATCATTGGATGATCCAGTCCCATTACATACAATTGCATCGTAAAGTGGTGTTCCTTCTATAAAGTAGCAAAATAAGTTTGGTTTTTTTATGGTTTTTCTTCAAACTGTGGATGGTTGAATCTGTGGATCATATTCCATGGAGAATGAACAGCCGAGTTAGAAAAGAGTATTTCATGAAGAAAAAAAAAGGTTATGTAGGGTGAATATATATCCTTATGTGATTTGTTACTTATTGCTTACATTTAATTTTATTTTTTTCTCCATTTGTAGCTCAGGAGGCTCAGCCTAAGTCTTTGGAAGAAGACTGTGAGGTGTATGAAACAAAGGAAAAGCCTTCCATTGCAGCTCCCCTTCCAGCTTTTAAGAGGGATGATAGACAAGATGGCAGCAGTTTGACCCATGCTCTCCCATCTAGTGTTGGTTATTCTGTTAGTAATGAAAGTGTGTCATCTCAGTATCTCCTTTGGCGCAAATTAATCCCTAACCCTAAAGCTGTTGAAGATGTTAGTCGAGAAGAGGCACCTCCTGAAATGGAAGCTTCTAAGAAATTGACCAGTGGTTTAGAAAACCAGAAAGGATCAGTCATACAAAGAAACATGGATGTTGAAGGTGTAAGATTACCTTCTTTTTACAGTGTTCAAAGAGCTGAAAGAAGTAGACCCAGTCCTTTATTCCAACCATCCAGATATACTGCATATGAAGGGATATGTAACAATACTTTACCAAAACTAGGGCCCTATTCCCAAGCGTTCTTTCCAACTTCACAACCATCCAAATATACTGCATATGAAGGGATATGTAACAATAATTTAACAAAACTAGGGACCTATTCTCAAGCGTTCCTTCCAACTTCACAACCATCCAAATATACTGCATATGAAGGGATATATAACAATAATTTAACAAAACTAGGGACCTATTCTCAAGCATTCCTTCCAACTTCACAACAATCCAAATATACGGCCTATGAAGGGATATGTAACAATAATTTAACAAAACTAGGGAACTATTCTCAAGCGTTCCTTCCAACTTTACAACCACCCAAATATACTGCATATGAAAGGATATGTAACAATACTTTAACAATGCTAGGGACTTCCTCTCAAGCGTTCCTCCCAGCTTCAGAGTTAGATAATAGACAGCTATTAACAGGAAGGCATTATGTTAAGACTACATCAGGTACTCCTTTGATGTTCTATACTAAAGATGAAAGTATAGTAAGAACAGGTGACGATAATGCTCTCCCAAGCCAAGATCAATCTTCTTTGGAAGGAACACAAGAGCCACACCAGGGAAGCCCATTTGGAAGCCTGGAGAAGTTATCTAAAATAGAAAATATTGCTCCTTTTGAGAAATTCTCAATTTCACCTGTTTCTTCTATGGAAACAGTTGAAGGACATATGCAAAAAAGTGAAGTTCAGGAGAGTAGTTATCATGCGGACTCTATGGAAAATGAGGATTCTGAGACAGAATCTAGTCCTTCATTTGTAACTGCTTCTCATGAACTGGAGTGGTGCAGCACTTCAGTTCAGACCCCAGAAGATACCCTCAACCAGAACACAAGTGAGGACTTTTCAGGAGAAGAAGAAACCTCCAATCAGATTGCCTCATCAAATGCTTGGTCAACTAATAGGCTGTCATCCATCACTGGGGATCAAAGAGTGGCATACAGCTTAAACCAACCTATCTCTATGTCACGGTACTTTTCCTATGACCTTCCCTGGCATAAATACCTCAGAGGAAGAGACGAGAGGGAAACTATAGTAGAATTCTTCTATTTTCTGAAACAACATGAATTTGAAAATATAATGGCACCACTTGAAAGCAGGAGGTATAAAAGATAGGCCTAGATATAAAGTCACCTTTTTACTACAGAACCTATGGTGCATCTCTGCTCTTTGTAGGCAACCATAATATTGACGTGACTATCTATCAAATGAATTTGATACCCCTTTGTATAGCAATTTATTACTTGGTTGCTGTGAGTTTTCTGGGCTGTATGGTCATGTTCCAGAAGTATTCTCTCCTGATGTTTCACCCACAGATGCCTGCCATAGATGTGGGTGAAATGTCAGGAGAGAATGCTCCTGGAACATGGCCATACAACCCGTAAAACTCACAGCAACCCAGTGATTCCGGCCATAAAAGCCTCCAATAACAATTTATTACTTGTTGAAAGGTCAGAAAGGTAATCTGTTTCGTTAGCCAATGTGACACTTTCAAAAGTAAATAATTATGATATTCCTTAGTTATAAATTATAGGGGAAAATGGAGGATTTTGCTAGTTATTCTATTCTATCAAAGGATGATTGATTAGGACCTATTAGCACCAAAAGCAACTCGCTGCTATGCCTGTGCAATTGCTTTATCTGAATCCCAGATTTTATCAACTCAGGCTATTTGGTTCTAGAAAGGATTGCCCCAGTACAAAGTAATCTGAAGTGTGTTTTGCACTCAAATGATTATACATTCAACATTAACTTTTAAAGGAAAAAAATGCAAATATAAGTGAAAATGGCAAACTCTATTTTTTAAAACAAATTGAAAGAACATTTCTCTAGACATTTTTTGGCTCTCCTGTATGATTCTTCCACTGGAAGTTGACCATAGAATCACACTGGAGGACTAGAGAAGTGCTTTTTCTGGGTATTTCTAGGTCCTTTACTATGATTCTTTAGTCAATTTCTGGCAGAAGTAAGCCATAGAATTGTGCTGGAGTTTCTAGAAATGCCTTGAGACAATATATTTTGTGGTCATGTATAGCGCAGCAGCAGAGGCACATACAATAACCCACAAATAATAATGTAAACAAATGCTTAACCTGCAAATGTGGATAGATTCAGTTCAAAGCAGATAATGTGGATTATCTGCTTTAATCTGGATTATATGGCAGTGTAGAAGGGGCCCTAATTACTTTCAAGTTCTTCTGAATTGTTATTAATTACTGCATGGGACTCTATAACCATGTTGGATTTGAGTGTTAAAAAACTCTTATTATTGCCTGTTTCTGCAATAATTGTTGGTTTGTTAGATTAGACTAAGCTAGATGCCAATCTGTTGCTTAAACATTTTAAGAAATAAATAATGGTTATCAATGGAGTGTATGCCATTAAACAGAAAACATATTAATTTTGTTAAATTACAAAAGCCATTCACAATGCTTAAAGTACTTTAAAAGGCCAGTGAAAGAGTAGTTTAAAAACCCATGTGTTATTACTCAGAAATAATATTGTTGGTGTTTAACATTTTAAACACCAGGTTTTTAAAAACAATCTTTCAAAATGATAATGAATATAGGGTAAATATTTTTCCCTGCACTTTGAAAAGCATACACCAACATAAAGAAGCAGCCATGGGATGACAGAATTAAGAAACCAGGAAGTCAGTAATTTAACAAGTACAAACCTTTAACAAACAGAAACCAAAAGGGGACAATGTTACCAAAAGAGTCAGAGATCCCTTCCGCACAGCCATATAATCCAGAATATCAAGGCAGAAAATCCCACAATATCTGCTTTAAAATGGGTTATCTGAATCCACACTGCCATATATTCCAGTTCAAAACAGAAAATGTGGGAATTTATTCAGCTGTGTGGTAGGGGCCAGATAAATATGTACCTCAAAGCTATGTTAACCAAGCATCTATATAACTTGGCAGAAGTTATATGAAAATATGGTGTCATCCCTGCTTTTCAGAACAAGTTACTTCATCATAGATTACATTGAAAAATCTGGAACAAGGTCTTTGACTGGATTGTGTGGGGAGAAGTATGTGAAACAAAAGAATATAAGATTAGCTGTGAAAGCAAGAACTGAAGGAGATGGACCTAGTAAACAGAATTTTAATTTGTTTAGATATTTAATTAGACCAGGACTGTAGGACAAGAGTCAAGAGTAACTGAACAGGAGGGAAGGAGAGGATCCTTACATCAACAAGGGAGTCTCTTACTAGGGTTGTTATGATGACAGATTAGGGTGGAAGAGAGCGATTTTTCCATTTTGAAGAAATGAGGCATATAGTTGGGATTAATAAAATAGATAAAAATATAAGAATGGGATAAACAAAAAATACTGCAACAGAGTCAGCAAGAACCACTGTGGTTGTATTTAAAGATAATATGATGAAATGTCATTGGGAAGGACTAAAAGGCAAAGGGTGTATCTTGGAAAACAGGAAGAGTGTCTTTGAAAAGCAGTTTCTATACTTGTTTGGATTAGAAAGAGACTTGCTTAATCTGTATTGATTTTATTGGATGCAGAAAATGTCTTGGACAGCATGAGCTGCTCTTTCTTATTTAGAGTTTTTGGAACAAAAGTATTTTGGTAATAGAAGGATTGAAAAGAGAAATGTATAAGTTAGTCATATGCCAATAACTTGATAATGGTTTCTGAAAGTATTTTGGAGTGTATAGTGTTAATGGAAAAATGAAAACAATTTTGTAAACTAGGAGGTATCAAGACTAACAATAAAAGGAGTGAGAGGCTGACCAAAAAAAAAAAAAAGAAAAAAAAAGAAAAAAAAAGAAAAAAAGGAAAGATCAAATAGAACTGATGGATAAGAGAGGTTTTAAAATGGAGAAGTAAGTTAAACACAGGTATCATTATGACAAATATGAATTGTATACTGTTACTGAATAACATGATTAAGATGTGCAGTGAAATTAAGAATGAAATGGCCCAACACAATAAACTTGTCAAAGCTGAAATAATTTTTGTGATAAAAATGAATATGTTGCCTAGACCTATGTTGTTATTCTAGAAAGCACCAGTTTTGACAATGAATGTACCATCTAAGCAATGACACATGGATCTATCTAAGTCAGTGGTTCCCAACCTTTTTTGGACCAGAGACCACTTGACCAGGAACCACTTTGACCAGGGACCACTCCAACATTAGTACCAAAAGGGTTACGAACCACTTTTTGGCCAACTTTAGATTCAGTTTGGTTATTTGAGGTGCTGATTCAGAAAATTGCATTGGATAGACCATATCAGCTCTAGTTTCTGATACAATAGTCACCATCTGCTCACCCACAGAAAACCATATTTAATAAGCCTCGGTACTATAAGAGGGTTTTGCGAGATCAGTCGCTCTCGTTGCAACGGTGTAGTAATGGTAAGGCGGTGGACCGTATTTTAGTTCTTGTGGACCACTGGTGGTCCATGGACCACAGACTGGGAACCACTGATCTAAGTTTATATGACAAGGAAATAAAACCAAAAGTCTAATATAAAGAGCTGCAAGATGCAAAGGAAAGAGGAGGACTGGGCTAAGGCATGCCTTAATAAACTTATGGAATAAATATAAACCCTGGTTTGCCAAAAACAAACAAAAAATCATTGTGGATCTCAGCACAAGAAACTCATTATAGAATAGAAACAACAGATACAGATAGTTAATGTATCAACATCTCTTGGATAGCTACCAAATAAATTGAAAGAGAAGTTACTTTTAGCATCTAATTAAAACTACTGTTAACATCTAATTAAAAGTACAGTCAAACCATTTCTTTTTGAATGTATGGATGAGCAGCTGGAAAAGACCCATGGAAGACTATTTCAGTATGTGACCACAGCAGCAAGACTGTTCTATGTAGGAATATGGAAGGATTGAACATTACCCTACTATAGAAGAATGATTGTTGAAATATAAGAAATGAAACAATGTCTGGTTGGATTAGATAGAAATCATTTGGGACATCTCTCAAAGATTGGAAACTCCTTATAGTAGTAAAATGTGGTTACTGAAAGAAGTGGATGATGTGGTTTTACAGAGAAATGTTTGAAGCCACTTTTCCTTTTTTATATTTCTCTCTCTATTCTAAATTACAGTTTTTTTCTTGTTTGCCTTTGTTTTTTTCTTTCTTTAAACTTTTGCCTTTTTATTGTACTTGAAAAAAATGAACTTGTACAGATTGAGTATCTCTTATCTGGAATTCTAAAATACAAAATACTCCAAAATGCAAAATTATCCACATGGATGGCTGAGGTAGTGACACTTTTGTGTATCATCTTGCACAGGTGATAAGTGCAAGATGTATATGAAACAAAAATTAATTTTGAGTTTAGGTTTGGTTCCCTTCTTTAAAAAATCATTCTGTATATATTTTTTTCCAAATATCAGCAGTATGAAAGACTTCTCATTCTAAGGATTTTGGATAAGAGATGCTCAATCTAGAATAAAAACCTCATATATATATAAAAAAGAAAAAAGATGTGCCTGATATAAAAGATAAATGTATGTAGTGTTTTGAGGCTGCATAAATTGAGTTGAGTTACTACTGCAGTGCAACTTGATTTCCACTACTTGCAATTCAATATGAGTCATTCCTTACCAGCCCAGAAATCATACTTTATGTTTTGATATAATTAACTCAAATAAAGCAACACTGCATACACATTCTGAAAAATTGTGTGCAAGACTTCTTAGCAATTTGAAATGTCTTTGTCTTTTTGCAATAAGCCTTTTAACAAAGTTACAAACACTGTTGCAAACATCTGGCATCAATAGTCCTGCTTGAGGTTAGAAAGGAAGGTCAGTAAAACAGGGGAAACTCACATAACTAACTCTACATATGGAAGAAATTTCCAAGGGTTATCTCAGTATCATGTTAGCTAACTCCAACCCTGCTGATGATACTGTGGATCACAGCTATGCCTCTCACTATCACTGCTTGCCTCAGAAATGTTTCCTTACATTTAAACATTTCATTAAGATGTGCTTAAGGCACACCTATATGCTGAATATGGCAAGAAAGAACAGGGCAGTCTATGGAGATGGTCTTGGGATACTGGTGGCCAATGGTGTGCATTTGATGACTGTCTAGGTGGTACATGAATACTACTTTTATATGGTTGAGTCCTGCAGGTATGTTTGAGTCCTGCAGGTTTCTCTCCCTGCTTTCATCCTCACTCTTCTCTTCCTCTTTGCAACCACTATTTTGTCTCTTGCC